CTGTCCGATTTTTCCGTGCTTGCTCATGATGCTCAAGCAAACGTAAACGCAGAGACTTTTGACACAACACCCATAATTCATGGCTGCCTCATGTTTGCGAAATGCCCCTTCCCTCGGCCCATTTAAGCAATGCATCAGCAGAAAGACGAAAACCTAGGTGGCGGGGGGTAGCATATATATATATATATATGTATGTACATCTGTATATTCATAAACATATATATATACAGTAATATGTATACTCGTAGTATGATACATGAAAAAATGATATAATACATCGTATATAGCACGATATAATATATATATATATATACTTGTAATATCATACATATGTATACGTATGTATGTAATATCACATGTACATAAGTATGTGTATATATACATATACATATGTATATATATATATATATATCATCTACACTTCATGAGATATGAAGTAGATTTATCTAGTAAAAAAAAGATCCTTCATAGCACAGGTATAGCCCAGTATTGCCCACGGGGCTGATGGGGCTCGAAGGGTTTGTTGATGATCACCATCATCCATATCATGACGAGGATAAGAAGGCAGATGGTGATGGGGACGCATGGTGATGTTGATGATGATGATTATTATGATGATGATGGTGATGATGATGACGATGACGATGACGATGACGATGATGATGATGATGATGGTGGTGGTGGTGATGCTGATGGTGATGCTGATGGTGTTGGTGGAGATGATGGTGATGATGACGATGACGATGGTGAGGGTGATGATGACATGGATGGAGATATCCTCATCATCGCTGTCCACATCAACTCGCCATCGGAATGAAAACCGGACGCTGCATTCTGGGAGCCCGGACAGTGCGGTTCAAGTTGCTTGGAGGCCGCGGTGTCGCGGCCACAACAGCCTCGCAGGGCAGCTGAACGGTGAAAACATCAATTGAACAAAAAACAGAACCATCGCCGGTATCATCATCGTCTTCGTTCTCATCATCATCATCATCATCGACATCGACATCATCAGCGTCAATATCGGTATCATGACCCAGAAAACTATTCCCGTCGCCTGATTCCGTTAAGCATTGTCGTTTCCACATTCGCTTCGTTGTCCGCCTCTTGTTGTCGTGGTTGCTCTTGCTGTTATATTTCTTGCTGCAGTTCCGAGTGTGACAGCTGTTGTTATTTCCGTCATGCTTGCTGCATTTACTCTCGTGGATTCCTTCGCTGCTCGTCTTGTTCGCTATTGATGCGGCTGGTGTGTTGCTGCTGTCATTGCAGCTCTTCCTATTGATTCTGCCGTTTTGTGCTTGCTTTCTTCAAGTCGCTGATGATAGTGCCGCTATTGTCTAATGTCAAAGTGATGCTGATGGCGCTGTTGCCATGCTGCTGCATTGCTGCTAGCTGCTGCTGCCTATTGCCGTTGCTGTTCCCGTTGCTGTAGGCCTGTCAAGGATTCCAGACATGTCGGGGTAAGACGCAGACCTTTCGGAAGTACTTCTCGAAGTCGTAGTACGTGAATCGCCTGACGGTCCCCAAGCTTTCCTTCGGATCCAAGACCCCTCTCTAAGAGTAGCAGCTTGGGCCCCCGGTAGCAGCAAACAGTTGTGCTTGTGCTACTACTTGCGGCCAAGAGTCTTTTTGCCCCCGGCGATGGCCTCCCAGGCACTTGTGGGCAGGAAGAAGGGCTGGGCAACCACTGCTGCCACTACCACTATCGTAGAGCATAGTATAGCAAAGTAGACCATATGAATAATAGAGTATAGTATAGCATAGCGCCGCATCGTATAGTCTTTTTGATAATTGTGCTCTATTGTAGTATGGCCAAAGGAGCCTCTCAGGCTACTCAGGCTCAGAGCTCAAGGCTCGTTTTGGAACACCGCAGAGCTCCGGCCACTTACCAGTCCCCTGCACGGTGCCTCATCTCTTTTGGAGGCTTCGGGGGTGAAAAGCTCGGAGAGGTCCACGAGGGCAAGGCGAGGGGGTTCGGGAGGCGGAGATTTCAGAGTTCCGGGTTTCGCATTTGATTGCAAGCTAGCAGATGGCGAAAACAAAACCCCCATGTTTAGGCAGGTCCAGACGGGATACTCCCCAGCATCTTGATGACCTTCATAAGGCTGACAGGTCCAAGGTTGCCTTATACATCGGCCCTTCAGCGGGGCCATGACAAGGAGCACAAAAATTCTTTCAGCCTAGAATGGTTCGGGTCTCTCCTCTTCGCCACATCTCCCCGGGCCAGAAGCGTGGCAGAGTATCAGAGAGAACTTGCGTGTCGGCTTAGGCTTTAGGGTGTACCGGGCCTTCATCTTCAAACACAGCTACCACCATCTTGACACTCTGACGTCCACGAAATGCCATCATCATGGTTCGCTTAAGCTGGTCCTGCAACACTCATGCTAATAGTAGCGGTGGGAGTGAGGTCAGAAGTTGGAGCGGACAAAAGATGGTGGGTCTGGTAGGTACTGTAGGGTAGCAGTTGCAAACTGTATGTAGTGGATGGAGGGCAGTGGTTGTTGCTGTGCTGTTGTCGTGGCCACCAGAACCACACGGAGGGGGCTACATCCTACGCACACGGAAGTCCTCTGCGAAGCTAAGTCGGCCAAAGGGCCTATGCCCGCCCGGCAGCAGCATATGTGCCACGGGGGGGCGGTGCCCGGAAACAGCTTCCGCACTGGGAGCTGCAAAGACTCTTTCGGAGTGCTCCCTTCGGGTCTAACCCGAAATTCCCGGAGTGACGGCTAGAGATCTTGGTGTTTCTAAATGAAGAAGTGGGACTGAGCAGTCCCCCATGCAGGCTTGATGGTGGTGCGTGTTCCCTCAACAGGGCTGGCATCTGGCAAAAAAGAAAAACCGTTTACCAATCCGCATTGAGGGATTTATGAGCTTTGCTTCGTCCCAAAGACCTGACAAGGGCCCACATCATGGCTTAGTCATGCTTACTCAGGGCAGCCGCTTTAAAAGGGAGAGTCTTCACTCCTGAAGATCTAGTAAGAGGATTCGGTGCAGGCTGCACCCTGCCGGGTCGACGCTTTCGTCAAGGCCCACGGCGCACGGGCACAGCTTCAAAATAATGGAAGTAGTATCAGCCGAACCTGGGCGTGCGGGGTCACCGGCACACGTGGCGAGTGTGGGAAGAACCCTGGGCCCGAGACCACGACGGAATCATAGGCAGTCGCAATAGCAACCGCCATAGCACCCGCAGCAACAGCTGTAGCAGTAATGGTAGTACAACCAGAAGTCTGTGTATATACATTGTATGTATATATATATATATGGTATATATATATATATATACATATATATATAGGTGTTTATGTGCGTGTGTGTGTGTGTGTATGTGTGTATGTACTTATGTGTAGTTATATATATACACACACACCTACAACTTGTTCGCACGCGCACACACACACACACACATATATATATATATATATATAACTATATACACACATTAATGCTGACCGATACCTGCAGTAAGAATAACTACAATAATCATCGTCGTCAGCATCACAATAGGAGGAGAAATGCGTTGATGATAATCGTTACGATATCCGTATCAAGCGTTGCGGTAGCAAATGTTAAAGAACATTACAGACGGCAAATGGACCCTGCATGAAAAAAACAACAACAGTGACGACCAAGAAAGATGACATAACAACCATACAGTAGTGATTAGAACAGATACATGAAGCTGATGCAGCACACCTACAACCCAGGGCCGCCGCTAAGCGTCTTCTCCACTGCTGTCGCTCTCCTGTGGCACGAACATGGAGACGGGAATGTCGAAGGCCTCAGCCCAACAGACTTAGTTGTTGCTTTTGGGGCTTGCTTTGGGGATCTTTGTCTCCAGGCTTCTGCAACTTCAGGCTTTTCCGGGAGAAAGGAAGCCCCGACGAACCCGAAGGCACCGAGTTCCCGTAACGGAACCCAGTCGGAACCCAGGGCCCCGGCGCCGCTTGTCGGGTCGAAGTAGCAGCGTTTCACCTGCGGTCCAGGAAACTCCTATGGAAGAACTATCAAAGAAGACCTCTAGCAAATCTTCTCTACATATATATATATATATATACATATATATATATATATATACATTGTAATATATATATATATATATACACATGTGATATGTATGTGTATGTATATATATATATATATGTGTGTGTGTGTGTATGCTTGTTATTGCTTGTATGTATGTATGTATGTATGTATGTATGTATGTAACGTATGTATGTATGCACGTATGTATGTATGCACGTATGTACGTATGTACGTATGCACATACGTCTACGCATGCATGTACTTAGTTGTACATACATACATATACATATATATATATATATACATTACACACCCATACATACAGACATACATACATACATACATACATACATACATACATACATACATAAATATATATAAATATGGACAGGGTTGGAGCTGCAGCGAGAGGGTGGGATGCTGTTGGGGATCGGCCAGGCGTCACAGAGGGGACCGGAATCTTCAGCAAGCCCTACGCAAGCCATAAACCCAACAACGGCACTCACTCTCGGACAGGGTTGGGTTTAGGCTTCGATGTCTTCGGGTACCTCCGCGTTGCTCAGGTAGCGATCGAATCCGGCTCCTGCTGCCAAGCTTGAGGCTGAGGGCCTTTGGGCGGCTTCGGGGCGGGTAATCCTGGTAGTGAATTATCATCATCAATACTGTCGTTACTATCGCAGTGATAGCAATAATGCTAACAACAATAATAAAGATAACTATAACAATAACAATAATCACAGTAATAGTAATGACAGTAATGGCAATGGGCAGCTTCGAGTCGCAAACGTCCGTGGGAGAGAGAGAATAGGCAGCTTCACCCTAGGCTCCTCTGCCCAACAGCCGAGCGAAGAACTGGCAATGCCCAACCTCAAGTGTGAACTCGCGAAAACCCTTCGGGATTGAGAGTTTAGGGTTTAGGGTTTAGGGTTTGGGTTCAATGAAATCTATGGCTGCGAACAGGTCATGACCTGGCTACTACCAAACATTACTAATGGTTTCTCCTCTCTCGTCTCTTGAAGGTGGTATGGCGAGCACTCCAATCTTGAGATTAGCTTGTCCCAGGCACGACCACGATCCGCGTCTCCGGCGTTTTTGCAAGCCAGTCCTCCGGCAAGGGATGCGCTTCACGCTGCGACGCTCTTTTCGTGTCTGCGGTCCGCAGAGTTCGAATTGTCAAAGGGTTTTGGCGGATCAAGGTTCAAGGCCCGTGCGACTACGCACAGACAAACAAAAACACTAGCCACCACGCCTCGCCACGAAGTCAACCAATGGCCACAAGACTCCCGGTGTGGAAGCCCCTGAACTGAACCCCGAAGACTTCCCCCACAGCATTTCTCTTACCTTGGTTAGTAGGGAATGGAAGAATGGTAGTAATAGTAGTTATACTTGTACCCCATTCCTCCATTCCCTACGAACCAAAGGTAAGTTCTGAAGCACTCTCTTCCGTTCCCCCGGAGGGGGCCCCCCGGGCGCCTTGAAGCCTTGCACCCGTTCCTGGAACTGGGCCGGGCAGAGGCCCTCCTCGAGCGCGGAGCGCGGCTTCGGTTTAGGGTTTAGGGTTTTAGGGTTTAGGGTTTAGGGTTTAGGGCTTAGGGCTTAGGGGGAAAATGCCCTGTCTTCAGCCTTCTTGTTGTAAGGAACTGCGGGGCAAAGGGAACTTCACGTTTCGGACTGAGGGTTTGGTATGTTGGACCCCTCGGTACATCCTTTGGGTCCGGAAGGTCCTTGCTCCTTACTGGTAGGGTGCTGTGGGATCTGAATCTTTGGGGGCCTTTCAACCCCGTCAACATGAGTATGTATGGAAGCAGTTCGGGCATTGGGGTATCGGCAGACCATGCAGGGCTTCGGACTACAAATTACGTCAGAGAATGACCAGGGTCCTCGTGTGAGGGGCCCTTGATTTGTCTAAAGAAGGTGCTGGAAGTCCGCGCGAAACAGCACAATAAACAAATCGGCAAGACTTTCTGGCGGCGTGTTCTAGACGGGACTCCGTTGAAGGTGCCTACATCTAAGCAGTGATCGTGATGACTAGACCCGATACTGTACGAGGAGCCACCCCCGTCCGTACTCCCTGACACCCGTCGAGGTGCCATGGGTGTCCGCTCCACCAGTTGCGGCATCGCCTGAGCGTCGGGTTGTCTTCGAAACTATCTCTTCGAACTGCTTTACCTGCTGCGACGATGGCGACGGCGGTGATGATTGCAGTTGCGATGGCCGGCTACTCAAAGATGATCGAGACTGATGCATCTTTTGCTCCATTGCTCTGTGTCGTCAACATCCCACATTACCACCACAGGCAAGCACCGGGAAACAAGGACAGTGATAACTGTAATGAACTGTAATGAGGCCTGACCTCTGGGGCCCCTGCTTTGCTTGGCACCTGCAGCTTGGGTTCTCAGGGCTTCGGAGGGGTGCCCTCGGCGAGCAGACCTGGAGCTACGGCAAAAAGCCAATCCAAAAGGGCCCCCGAGGCAGCTTGGCCTCGCTTCCGAAGAGGACCTCCCAGGTGCGCACCGCCCGACGCCGCGGGCTGAAGACGATGAGCTGGGGATCCGCCTCGTTGAGGCTCGGGATGTCTTTCCAAACAGCTGGGGCTGAAATCTGAAAACTTCTTCGGGTGCCAAAAGCCCCAAAAAGGCCCTAAACCCTAAACCCTAAACCCCTCTGAGACACCCGAGAGACTCTGGCCTTCTGAAGGAAGCTGCAGTCGGAAAGCTGGGCCTGAACCAAGGGACTCTCCCCCCGAAACTCTCGGGGCTTGGGGCTTTGGGAGGAGGGCCTCGGTAAGGTGCCGGAACCCTCGATCTCTGGGTTGGCTTGTGTAGCTGTCAAGGCTCGGTCTAGTTTTGGGGGTTTAGGATTTAGGGTTCAGGGGCTGTGTTCCGGGCTTCTAGGCTTCTGGCTCAGAGCGGTTGGGCTTCTAAGGGTGATCGTGGCCTCTGCGCTAATGGCTCGTGAGGAGTTTTCGGGCTTGTTGGGTCCTTCTCTTCTAATGACCTTAAAGGACCGTCGCGGCAACCTTAAAGTATCGTAACAGTGACCTTGAAGTACCCTTATAGCACCATTCTAGTAACCTTATGTGGGTTCCGGGCTTCTGAGCGGCCGATTTTCTGCTCCCACCTGGACGTCCTTGAGCTGCCTCAGCACATGCACTTTCACTCCGGAGGCCCGCTGTGGATCGGCCGCACGTTGCGATGAGAAGGGTGTAGGAGAAGATCGTCGTAGTGATAGTGATGATGGTCATGATGGTGATGATGGTCATGCTGGTGATGATGGTGATGATGGTGATGATGACGATGGCGATGCTGCTGTTGATGATGGTGGTGATGGCCTGGATCGTGGCGACAACAGCAAAAGACAAGTAAAGCCCGATCAGTTACGCAGTCCAGCTACCTCAGCATTCCCCGCAGTACCACTGCTCATCAGCACATGCCACTATCATCATCACATCAGAAACTTCAGTCACGTTGCAAGCCTCCAGAAAAGCACAAGCAGATCTCCCAGAGTTCTTGGGCCTTGTCACGGTCGGAGCAAGCACGCAGTAAGAACAGCGAGCAGCAGAGCAGCAACAGCAGCAGTAGTTGCAACGGGAGGTGCAGGAGTTGTCCCTGCATTCTCGCTCTTGCGTTTGAACTCAGCCTGAAATCAACACTCCAAGCCCTCAGCCCCCACTTCCTGAACCCTGAATCCAGCCAAACCCTAAACCCTAAACCCTAAACCCTGAACCCTGAACCCTAAACCCTAGACTTCAAACTCCGACTCCAAAAGCCCGAAAGCCAAGGGGCCTCTCCCCTCGCACGGACAGTGGCCTCAGTCTCGCTCGTGTGCACCACAGAACACTACCATTGGAGCATCCTAGTCACAAGCTGAACCCTGAGACCTTATGCGGCGTAGGGCTCAGGGTCGAAGCTTCAGGGCTTTGCGATGATTTCTGGGCAGAGGCCTCAATGCAATGCATGTGGTGCACAAAGAGAAATCCTGGACGCAGATCCGTGCTGTCCCGTCAAAGCCCAGCTCCTGCCTGCGAGCAAAGAAAGCCACTCCTTGCGGCCCTAGCCTAGGGGTTTAGGGGTTTAGGGGTTTAGGGGCTTAGGGGGTTTGGGGGTTTGGGG